GGGGGGGGGGGGTAGAATTGAACGTGTACGAGTTGGGGATAGCGGCAAGAACCAGTGTACGATAAGTAGGGAGGGTTGAAAGACTAAAACACGAAAGGCATGGAATCTCGATGAGGGCAGCAATCGAACTAAGAAAGCAGGAAAGGAGACATTGCGAGATGGCCCGGCGAATGACGTTCTGGGAGGATAGACCTTGTAGGGTCCTGCCACTAAGAATATCAGTAGGCAGGGTCGAAATAAGCCTGCCGGCAAGAAAGACGGTAGGCAATCCGGTAATGGACTGGGTGGGGGTAGAGTTGGTGGAAGATACGGTGTACCTAGAAGTGGAGCTGGAATGGTGTGCGAGAGGGGAGTTCGGGGGCGTCGACTTGAACCTCCCAGGGCGTGTACATGCGACGGGATCCTTACACCTGTCGGAAGAAGGATGGCGGACCTTTGGGATTGCTTTGGCTTCCAGGGATGACCCCGTGTGAATGTTCGAAGGGGCATGGCAAATAACCTGGGGGGAGGGGTTTAAGTTTGCAGACCCGGAACAAGATGACGTAACGGCGGAGGTAAAAGTCACCGCGGCGGAGGTTTTTGAGCTGCCAAATGAGGTCATACGGACGAGTCTACCACCCTTCATGCTAAGACGAATGGGAGGCATAGAACAAGTGGAGCAGGCGGTGACTGCCGTAACTAGGCTAAATTTTGACGGAGCATTAATGTACCGAGAATACTATCGGGCCTTCCTACAGATGGGGCCTTTCGGGGACGAACAAGGGCGCGAGGTGCTTTGCATTCTACGAGCAGAAGTAAATGCTAGGCCAGGAGTCCCACAAATAAGTGATGAGACGATGTGGAGAGTCATCCGGCGAGAGGTAGGTCGGGGCGCGACCTACATAGATGATCTCTACCGGTTGTACGGACAGCGAGAGGAGGCTACTGCTCCCGGGGGTATAGAGGGATAGTTGGGACTAGAAAAGAGAAATGAAAACACGAAGGGCAAGGGAGACAGTAGGTGGGCGGATTCTAAAGATTGGCTGTAACCCTTTCTATGTGGACTATGCAGGGAATCACCAAGGTAACAATGGCAGCAAGACGTGAGCGAGTGGAACGCCAGCCCTGTGTGCGAATGGAACGCCAGCCCCGGTACCCCGGACTGCCCTAGAACAACGGTGGACGATGGGAAGTATCCCTCCCGTCGAGTTCTACCTATCGGGGGTTCGACATAGAATGGCGGGCCGTGACTTTGGGAAGGGACGCCGCCTTCATGTTGGTAAAATGTCGGTGGACAGAAATGAGACTCAACCGAGGACCCGGAGACGATCTGTTTTCCAATCTGGAAGTTACCGAAACCATGTATCTGCCCGAGATCGGCTGGCACTCGTTGGGGGTAGAGGTAGCACAAGGTCACGAGCTGGCACCGATCTTTCGAAGGGCCGCCCGGACGTTGACCCGGATAGGACAATCGGTCAGGGGAAGTAGGAACGTGGGCTTACTAACCCGGATGGAAATGGGAGGTTGGAGGGAGTTCAGGGCACCGACCACACCGCTGAGATGCCGAGTGCCCCGTTTTATGATAGACCTCGTTTTCGGAAGCCTCGCAAGGGCGCGGGAGCTGGCAGACTCAGCGATAGTCTGGGCAGGCCACTTTCCCTCCCCTACCATTGGGATGTTCTATGATATCGTTGTGGAGCACGGGCCGTTCTGGGGAAACAGGGCCCACGAATTACTAGAAGTTATCCACATCCTGGTGTTTTGTGCGCCCCGGCTAGACTGGACGGGGTGCGAACGCATAATCCAAAGGGAAATCGAGAAAGGGAAGAATTATCTAACGGGGGTGGCTCAACTATTTGAGGAGCCTACCGAACCGGAAGGGCCACAAGGGCGAGAACGGGACTAGCACCCGCAGGCGAGCCAGTAGGGCAAAACAAGCGCAGTCCGCTACGTTTAGAGGCCACCGACAGAAATAGGAAAGGGGGGGGCCTCGGACGCAGATGATCAATACCCGCGAGACAGGGAACACCGCGCAGGAAAACTTTTTCTAGCAGGTTGCCCGACCCGAACCCCTACGCACCGACCAACGAAATAAGGGCGCTCTAAACGAGCCGGTGATAAGGGAAGCTAAGTCACGCCCTTAGATCGGTGAGGCAGCACAGCCGGACACGACTCCATATTAAGGAAACCATCAGAAAATGGGAATGGGGAAAAGCCTAATTACCAAGTAAAAGGATAAACCAACAGGATTGGAACCTAGGGAACCTAAACACCTTGCACTGCGTTTGTTCTGGGGAATCCTTTGGTTATGCAGAGGTAGGCAAGTATGGCAACGGAGGATGAGAAGGGTAATCATGAAAGCGAGGGAGGACCAAGCTTAGGAGGCAGTGCTGAGCAAAGCGACGAACCCCTTAGCCACAGACAGTAGGGCTAGCCGTCTGTCGACCTCGCCAGCGGCATCGCGAGGATGCGAAGGGCTCTGGAGCCTCAGAGAAAGGGTGTTGGGTTGGTTCGACCCGAAAGGAACGGCAAAGACTAGAGGGGGGCAGAAAGCCAACAAGGAAGGGCCAGATACCAGCATGGCAGGCGAGGCCAGTAGCTCCGAAGGCGGCCTTAGGAAGATAGTATCATCCCTCACACGAGCACTGAACAAGAACCAAGGCTATCAGGCAGACGCCAAGAAAAAGTTGCCTTTCGATGGAGCAAACATCACAGAGTTCCTGATCGACTACAAGAACCTAGCTGCGTTACTAAAGTGGACCGAGGAGGAAAAGATGGACCATCTAGGACAGCATGTGTCGTTAAGCCTAGGATGGGACATAATGGCCATTGTAGCTGCAAGCCGGTCTTGGAAGGAGACCCGTGATGTGATGATGAGGAAGTACCTAGCGGCAGAGAAAATGGCAATGGAGGCCGACCTAGCGGCAGTTCAGAGGAAGAACTTCGCAACATTCAATAATTTCCTGCGGGAATTTACTCTAGTAGCACTAAGGATCCCCGGGGTCACGGACCGGATAATGAGCAAATATTTCCTCAGGCAGTTCTCCGAGTTCGACAAAGACAAGACCCTGTCAGCTTACCAACAGACGAGCAAGTTCGTAAACACGCGGGATGTTGATTTTAGCATGGTAACGGATCTGGCTGAGAAAACGGTAGTAACAAAAACGTTGGCCTTGCTCAAGGAAGGAGAGATCATAGATCTAACCGCTAGGGCGGGCGACAAGGTAAAGAAGGGGATTGAAAGTCTACATGAACGGGTGCACGGGGTCGACAATAAAATTGAAAGGATGGAAGGCGCCCTACTGGTCATGCAGGCGCAAGTATCCCGAACCGCCCTCCCTCCTCAAGAAGCTGTGGTTCCGCCAGGTGTAGCCAACCGGGGATTCGGACGGAGAGATCCTGCTAACGAGCAATGCAAGTACTGTACCGTGATAGGACATTATGTGCGCGCGTGCCCAAAGCTCAACCATGATATTATGAAAAGGTGTACCAGGTCATTAAAGGGGGAGATATTTGGACCACAAGGGGATCGGGTGAACTGGAACTCGCCAGGAGGGATGCGGCGAGCCATTATCATGCTCAACGGGTTAGAAATAACAGTCGTAGAAGCCGAACCGGTGGGCGAGATCATATGGGATCAACTCCAGGGGCGCGGGCCGCAGTCCAACTTCATTTTGGAAAACGACGGACGTGATAGGGTGAACGCGACCACTCGACTGGGAACGGTCGGGAGAAGAATTAACCGTGACACCATTATGGAGGAGGTCGCCGAAAGCTCCGAACCCCAGGCAGAGCCTGAGGCCGAGGAACCAGACAAAGTCTATGGGAAGCCTAGCGAGAGGAGCCTGCGGACAAGGTTACCGCCGCTAAGAAGAAGTTTAGGTATCAAATCCCGATCTTAACCTTGCCTGAGCTCGACGACACCATTAGCAAGTTACTAGGAACCATGGTGTTGGTGTCTTTTCAGACCATGCTGCAGGCTAGCCCTAAGTTGCTCAAAGGGCTCAGACAACTGTTGACTCGGAGGCGAGTAGAAACAGGCAACAACCCCGAATTACCAGAAGGGGAGAGCGAGAAGGAAGCTCCGCAAGAAGTGGCTAACCTTCAGAGGAGTCACGGGAACTTGGAGGATCTCGAAAAAACCTTTGCAGACATTCGTTTGAGCTTGCCCGACCGGGAGGGCGGTGAAGTCATGAGATCACCACCTGGGACAAAGCTTAGCTTTCATGCACTGCCCATAGGGAAACTGAAAATCCAGATCGGGAGTCATCATACCGACGCATTAGTAGACGGGGGAGCAGAAATCACTCTCATAAGGAGAGATTTCGCAACGATCACGGGATGTACGGTAAACAAGGAAGTAACAGGGAGCATCCGGGGAGCTGGCGGGGAAATCCCGTACATCACGAAGTGTGCTGTGAAGGCAGGGGTCAGGGAATCGATCTGGTCATTTCAGCGGATGACCGTAATGGAGGAAATGGACTACGACATAATCCTTGAGAGACCGTGGTGCGCGAACGTAGAGATGATAGGCATGCACTTGCACAATGGCTCGTACATGGTAGACATAGAGGACCCTGTGACCGGCCGGGGAGAGCTCCTCCGACTCCTTGGAACGGGAGGAGACCCCCGCACGGGAAATTGGCAACATGGTCGCCGTCGTTTGAGGATAGCACGCGAAAAGGGGCTTTCGCACGGATGGAGGGTATGAGAGAAAGGGTAGAAATCATGATTGAGGAAGCATTCAACAATAGGGAGTGGATCAAGATGGGCCTGCCCCAGAAGAAGAGGAGGCAGGAGGACAAAGTCCTAGGTGTCCTAGGTGTTATGGTAGCGGAAAAGGAGTCAGAGGTCAAACTTGGTGCTAGCATGCCCAAACGGAAAGAAGTACGCATAGACGTGCCAGAAATCGCACTCGAGATCCCCGATCTATTGCAACTCATCAAGGCCCTCAAATACCACAAGGTAGGAGTGGATTTGGCAGCCTTGGCCAAGTTCGAAAGAGAGGTGCAAAAGGGATATTGCCTGAATGGGAAACTAGTTAGTATTCAACCACGGGTCGTAGAGGCGACGGGGGCAATTCCGACTGTTCATTTTTTAGGAGAAAGATCCCGGAAGGAAGTGTTCGAAAGTACAAGCCGGTAGGGAAGGAAGCAAAACCGGTCTCGATCCTGCTAGAGACATCAAAGGAAGAGGCTATGGAGAAGGAGGAAGAGGTCCTTCGAGTGATCCGAGGAGGGACATCGGATACCAGATGAGGTAGCTGACACAATGAAGATAGGGATAGACAGGTTCTTAACAGAAGAAGAAACCCGCCTGATCAAAAGGACCTGCCAGGAGTTTCACCTGGCATTTGCCTTTAGTGATCACTAGAAGGGACGATTGGATGCGAAGTTGATCCCTCCGCTCAGAATCCACACGGTAGAACATGAGTGTTGGAATGACAAGGGGCCATCCTATGAATTTGGGATAGCAGGAGAAGTAACATTCCTCCTCCGAGCAAAGATGGACTTCTTCGTTGCGGAGCCTACGACATCGCCATACGCAAATCGGTGGTTCGTCTTTCGGAAGCCTAACAAGACACTAAGGTGGATTCAGGACCTGCAGAAGTTGAATGCGGTAACCATCCGGGATGCTGGCTCGCTACCTCAGGCCGACTTGTTAGCAGATCGCACGCCGGTCGGAGCATTTACTCCCTGATAGACCTGTACTCAGGGTACGACCAGCTTCCGTTGGATGTTCGGGACAGGCCATACACCGCTATGCACACCCCCGTAGGCCAACTACAGATGCAAGTGACCCCTATGGGATTCACAAACGCGGTGGCCGAAGCGCAACGCAGGATGCTCGCCGTGGTCAGGGACATGTTCCCAGAAAAATGTGAGCCTTACATCGATGACAATCCGATTAAAGGCGCACAGGAGAAGGACAAGACGGAAGTCCAGCCGGGGATCCGACGTTTTGTGTGGGACCACCTACAGGACATCAAGGACTTACTCCGCCGGTTCCTAGTATACAACATTTCGACTAGTGGACCAAAGAGTATCCTAGCAGTACCGGAGGTAACTATACTAGGATTTCGTTGCGGTGCTTACGGCAGGAAGCCGGATCCGGCAAAGACCGACAAGATATCACAGTGGCCGACACTGCTGCGCACGACGACGGAGGGAAGGGCATTCCTAGGCGTAGTCGGCTTTTGGAGGATCTTCATTAAGAACTTTGCCAAGATTGTTGAGCCCATCCGGGCTATGATCAGGGAAGAAGGAACCATGGATTGGACGGAGGAGCGAAAAGGAGTTGTCCAAAGGCTCAAGGACATATTGACATCTAAGACAGTCGCCCTGTGCGCCCCCTGTTTTAATGACGAAGTGGGCGATCCTTCATCCTAGAGACGAATGGAGGACCTTTCGCCGTAGGAGGTGTGTTAATTCAAAGGGATGAGGGAGGAAAAGAGAGGCCGATTAGGTTCGAAAGTAGAACCCTGAACTCCGCAGAACGGCGGTACTCGCAATTCAAGAAGGAAGTCCTAGCCATCCTGCATTGCCTTAAGACTTTTCAGGCCTACCTATTTGGAAGGCGGTTCATCCTCAGGATCGATCCGACGAATGTTGCAGGGGCCTTAAAGAATTACAGGCCTATAGATCCGACGGTGGGGAGATGGGTAGGATTTATCTTGTAGATTGATTATAAGATCGAACGGATTGCGAGAATTAGGAACAAGGCTAATGGGCTGAGCCGGGTCTGCATCACTCCCGAAGGGGTGGAGGATGCGCAGCCCATAAACGCGTTCCTCGAATACGAAGGAGGAACTCTTGCGGTGGATAACGAAATGATAAGCGGGGGATGCACATCGGGAGAACTATTGATCCAGATTTTGGAGAAGGGGGCACCTGTCGTAGTAGCAGAACTTAGAGAAGGATCAGTTACCACTCGAGGACGCAGAGAAGAAAATGACTCATGGGGATCGATAGTAGGACCGAAAGAGGAACTAATAGCAATGGCGGTCGAGGGAGGTTGGGAAGCAGTAATGAGCTTGGTGGAATCTTGGGAAAGGAAGGAGTTGCAATGGGTGGTAAACCAGATGCAGGAAGGAAAGGATGGGTGCGAGGAAGGAGAGGGTTTTTCCAAGTCCAATCATACGAAGGGCTCTTTCGGGAGATCGGGCTGTTATTGGTAGGAAACAAACAACCTACGGAAGTCAGTATTAAAGCAAGAGAAGAAGCCGAAAGGTACGTCCACGATGGGTTGGCTGGAGGTCATCGGTCGTCCAAAGGAACGCTTGCAAAGATGACGCCACTCTATTATTGGCCAGGCATGGCAGGCATGGTCGCCATATACTGCCAGACTTGCCTTATTTGCCAAGAACGAAGCTCGGTGCGGGTCTTCGAGCCGCTTAGACCAACGCGGGTGGTAGGGTCGGGGCACCTGGTCCACCTCGACCTTGCGGTCATGCCTGTATCAACGGATGGGTACAAGTATATCCTCGATGCGCGAGACAACCTCAGTGGGTTCGTGGAGGCAGTCGCCCTCAAGAAAAAGACAGGGAGGAGTGTGGCGAACTGGATAGAAGACTTCTACTTAAGGCATCCGTTCGTCAGGAGGTTTATAGCAGACAATGGGACAGAGTTTGTGAACCAAGAAGTATTGGGGATGCTTAAGAGACTCTGCGTACCGATCAAACTCATCGAGCCGTATCACCCTGAGGCCAATGCACCTGTGGAAAGGGGGCACCGAACCTTGAAGAACACAATTGCAAAGCTCGCAGCGGACCATCTGGGGAACTGGCCTAGGTTTCTTAAGCATGCTGTCTTTGCAGAGAATATGACCCCTAAAAGGACAACAGGATGTATCCCGGCTGGACTTTGGTGCGGAAGAGAGATCGACTTTCCTGTGGAAGCCTTGGTACCTACCTGGAATAGGTTAGATGATGATCCGCAAATGACCACTGAAGAGTTAATCGAGGCAAGATCTCAACAAATCCTTAAGAATGAGGAGGTCATGGAAGACATCGCCAACCGGGTACTGGACACCAGAATGAGGGACAAAGCAAGGTGGGACCAGGTTAAGAATGTCAGGAAAGAGCCACTTCAAGTGGGGGAGATGGTTTTGCTAAGGAACTCGGCACTAAAAAGTACTTGGCCGGGACAACTGGGAAGGAGGTTCAAAGGCCCCTACCGGGTCGCCAAGCGGGTGGGACTGAACACCTTCGAACTGGAAGATTTGGATGGAACTGGATTGAAAGGGCCCTTCCCGGGGCAACGATTGGTCAGGTTTCTAAGTCGGGACCCAGTGGAACAATGGCTTCAGGAGGCCGAAGATAAGGAAACTGAGGAGCCACAAGCTAAAGACTGACCACAGCCTTGCCCACACTATGGTTTGTCTCTGACCATGTTCATGGGACTGTCATTTTTTTGGGGACTGGCGCTTTGGCTTGGACCGATTGAGGTTGAAAGGCAGCATGACTTGGGGGTTTGCAATATCTGGCTTGTGTGACAACGGGAAGGGATATCTGGGGCATTGTACCATAGTTTTTTACCGGAAAAAAAATGGGGTCATCACAAACGACGCATTCACATGTATGATAGGGGCATGCTGCGAAGGATGTTGGGAGCATTCTGGGAAAAGGGGGGGAACTACCTACCCGACTGGGGGAATGGGTGCATGAGGGGCTTTGCGGGTGTTTTGTTATACAGGGTCTAAAAAAAAAAGAGAAGATGGAGTTCGGTGACAAAAATGACAGCGGGGCAATCAACAAGCCTACCGGAGGGGAGGAAGCAGGACAAAGCCAAGGGAGGAGAGCGGCAAAGAGAAAAGTTGTATATAGGACTCATGGTGGCCCAGTGGTAGGCAGGGGAGGAAGGAAATGCTTGTGTAGGAAACCCTCACCCCTCCGCAAGGAAGAAGGTATATAAATCTCGTCTGACAGTGAGGGAGGGAAGGAAAAGGCAGAAGTGGAAGAGGGAGGCAATGCAGAGATGGGAAATAAGGTTCAGGTCTCTGACGAGGAAGGAGTCAACAGGGGCAAGCAACGTGAGACTTGGCATGGGGAAAGCGAGGGGGGACAAGACATGCGCGACGAATATGAGGAGGGTGAGGAACGAAGGGAGAGCCCGCTTGAAGGACGAAGCGGCCACGACAACTGCGAGGGGTATGGGACGGGAACAAAGATTCCTTTTACCTACAATCTAAAGAACCTTGCAGGTGGATATAGCCCCATACAGACAGAAGACGAGGAGGACGAGGAGGAGGATGTGTGAGAAGTCATAGAAATCAGCAGCGGGGATGACAGGGATGAGATCTCAAGGCCTAGGGAAGAGGGGCGCCCTTCGATGCACCAGCCGGGCGACGGGGCTTTCAGATGGGAGGACGAGTTTGGGCCAACACCCAATCATTGACTTCAGCAATGGACCAATGTGATCAGGCACGAATGGATTATCAAGACTCGGGAACTCGCAAGGGCAGGGGTGGAAGCCACACCACTGGATTTTTTCAACGAGGCAGAGTTACGAAAAATTGTAAGGATGAAAAGAGAAATCGAGACCTACGGCTTGGGGGTTAGAAAGCCTGCCGAGGAACAGGGTGGACAAGGAACTGGGCAAGACGAGGTGCAATGCAACAATAGGAACTAGGTGTTGACTTAGCATTGAAAAGGATCGCTGTTTTTCTGTCTGCAAAGACATGAGAGTGACGAAAACGTGTACAGTATGGGCAAGCTGGCTAAGGATGAAGTGAAAAGAGGGCCAGCTAAGGCTGTGTCACGATAAGATAGAAGATAGTTTTTCAGGCTACTTTTTGGATGAGCTACCTTGGGTACATAAGACAAAGACATGGGATTTGAGATGAGACCAATTGGGAGAGGGTGTATTGTGAATTCTGGATGGAATAAGGATTATTCTTTTGAGAGGGGAAAACCTTGAGTACGAATTGACGAGCGAACCATGGCATTGAATGATTGGTCGAGTACAAGAGAGGTTAGGGAACCTATGGGTTAAGGGGCGTGAAGAACACTCCTTCCCTAGGAGCCTAATCCAACTGAGTCATGAATGAGACTGAGAATAGCCGAAACCTGAGTGATCAGGAAGAGTGAAAATGGAAGGAGCGCCTTTGTCTTTTGTTATGGATGAACGACCGGGTGAGCTGGTGCTGCTTGGGGTCGCGAGCCCCAACTCGAGTGCTAGACGCTAAGTCGGATGTACGCATGGATGGTACATTACTGTGAGAAATGGAATGGATAGTACATTACTGTGAGAGAAGGAAGAAAGAGAACAACACACAATAGATGAGATGGCCACCTTCTAACCTCCAAGACAGAAACGGAATCTGTAACCTCGAGGCCCACCCCCTCGGGCACTAACATTGAGAATGGAAAGGAATGACCCTAACCAGGCTGTTCGACTTGAGAATGGAAAGGAATGGCCCTAACGAGGTTGTTCGACTTGAGAATGGAAAGGAATGGCCCTAACCAGGCTGTTCGACTTGAGAATGGAAAGGAATGGCCCTAACCAGGCTGTTCGACTTGAGAATGGAAAGGAATGGCCCTAACCAGGCTGTTCGACTTGAGAATGGAAAGGAATGGCCCTAACCAGGCTGTTCGACTTGAGAATGGAAAGGAATGGCCCTAACTCTTATACACATCTAGATGTGTATAAGAGACAGGCCCTAACCAGGCTGTTCGACTTGAGAATGGAAAGGAATGGCCCTAACCAGGCTGTTCGACTTGAGAATGGAAAAGAACGACCCTAACCAGGTTGTTCGGGAATGGCCCTTGACAAGGGTCGTTCCATTTGAAATAGGCACTGGGGTCCCCTGCATATTTGATTGAGAAAGGTTGATTGAGAATGTGCTGGAATGAGCAATACGAGATGGAAAAGGTCGATGGGTCGGTCATTGAAATAGCCAAGGGATGGATGAGAGAGATGGAAAAGGCCGGTGGGTCGGTCATTGAAATAGCCAATGGGATGAATGGAAGAGATGGAAAAGGCCGGTGGGTCGGTCATTGAAATAGCCAAAAGGATGGACGAAAGAGATGGAAAAGGCAGGTGGGTCGGCCGCTGAAATAGCCAAGGGGGCGGAAGAAAGATGTGAATGAGAAGGACAGGATAAAGAAGGCGGAGCCTTAAAGCCGAGAAGGGCAGGGACCGTTGAGACGGTCACAGAGATTGGGTGCTGAGGAATGAGAGAATTGAGGAGTGAATGGGCGGAAGGGGCAGTCTTGAGAAATGGCTATTGAGAAAATGACCGCCAGACCGGCCATGTGGGTGGCCTTGTTGATGAGAGGTTGTCGGACCAGCCATGAGAATCAGCCTTGGAAATAACATGGGATTGAGTGTTTGAAGATTGAATATTGCATTGCATAGCCAGGGGACCCTAAGCAACTTGATGTAAGGTCGTCGGGCCGACCATGGAAATAGCAAGAGATTGAGCTTTCTTTTTTTTCTAGTCTCAGGTCTCAACATAAGGGGGATAGCAATGCCTGCATCACGACCCCAAGACCTCTATCCGTTAAGGGAAAAGTCTCAGCGCGACCTGCTCCTCATAAGAAGGAATAAGGTTTGAAGGACCAAAGCACCTCTCTCTTTGATTGATGTTGGCCGTCCGGAACCAACCCCGACAACGAGCTCTAGTCGGGGAGTTCAAACTGCGCCTCATGTTGAAACCTGAACGTCAAGGGTGTGGTGCCAAACGAGCGAGAGAGCCATTCTTTTTCCTAAGTCTCATTTTTTCTCCCCAACCACACGCCATGCCGTAGAGGGGCAGCACGGCCGTTTGGAATGGACCACGGCCGCTCACGTTAAGTTGAGCAGCACTGTCCAGAGGGAGGAATCGAGCGTGGTACCAGGTGGAAGCCGCAACCACCACAGGGCGAGTGACACCGCCCTGCCGGATCATTACAACCGTTCCGGTACTAACCGCGAGGTCTTCGTAACTGCACTCGCAGACTAATAGAGAGCCCCAACTCTCTTGAAAGGAAGAGGCCGGATCCAAGAAAACACCGCTCGGGAGGA